TGTTGTTCACTAACGATTTACTATACTCGCATAATTTTTATATTTACCGAATGTATACTAGTGTGTATATGTTTTTTGTCTCATTTTCTTCAGAATCTAAAGGTATCTTCCGCTTCTCCGTGGTGCATTTCCCGCCGTTTATTATACGTATAACTATAATTACATTCAAACTTGGTGTATTTACTAGAGACGTGTGCTAGAATTTTTTTATTTTTTAGAATCTTACTTAGCTTGGCTCCCTTCCAAAAGCTTTACCGGATTCTAAGTTGTTGGATTTTTTTTGACAAAATGAAAGAAACGTAAAATAAAAAAGCTTGAAATTTAGAATAAATCGTGACTACTCACCAAAACTTTCCTAACTAGAGTAACGTTATATCCGAAGTAGTAATTTGAAAATGTTCGTTACTAACAGACTAGCGGCTAAATTTCATACGCCTTAAAAAGAAAAGAATCACACAAAAAATTATTACTACATGGAATTAACATCTAAAATTCGTAACCGGCTATATAATCGCAGATCATAGATTCCTTTAACCTTAGGTTATAAGCGTGAGTTTATTTAATTACATACAAGCTTTATATTTTTACCTAACGTCTCTTGCTAGAACAAATGCCTAAAAAGAGTAGGCATAACAATATTATCTATATAACCGGTGAAGATTTTTTCACCCGACTGATTTAAATTAGTTAATTTAGATTGATTATTTTGTTTAATCATTTTCTTAAAATCATTTTTTTAGCTTGATATCGTCTAGCCTTGTTTTAATTCTACCTTTCAATCGGAAAATATATTAATATTCGGTTCATTGAAATTGGCCCATTTTGTACTTAAGAAATGATGGAATTTTTTCAGAAATGCGCGCGATATATTTTTTTTTAATTCCACAATGGCATACTTTTGTTACCATTTTTTACGAAGCCAATACTTTGTCAAGTTACGCATTTTAAATGACTTCTTGTATTTAGGTGAACACTACACATTGTTAAAACCATTTTATGGATTGTTATTTCGAAATTAATCTTGGTTAATCTTGATTCTATCACCTTGACTATGAAATCTGTAGTTTATTCGAGTCGTCGAGAGTTAAAACAAATTAGAAGCGATAACATCCGTCCATATAGTCTTATTAGACAAAACGCATTTTTATCAAAAACTAGCGAGTACTTGACTACCTAATGGCAACAAAAGGTGTACCATCAACTGTGGCAACTTATTATTTTCCTTGATTAACTTTACTTATTGAGCTACCTTTGTAGTTTTTATGAAAATTTAAATTACCACGTCTTCGTGGTGTATTTTTTTATGTGAGAAAGTGGCAAACGAGCTGGCGGTTCACCTGTTGTTAAGTGATAACCGCCGCCCATGAACATTTGCAACAACCATAGGTTTGCTTTTAATACTCTACTAAATACTTATTATTTTAAATACTCTGAAGGATAGCTTTTATTAGCTGATGACCTAGTAAATAACAAAAGCACAACATCTTATGAGGCTGAGAAGCGGTTGGGAATACACGAACAAACCATTGAAAAGAGAGTAAAAAATCTTCACATGTTTAAATCAAGACGAGCAAAAATTTGCTCGTCTTGATTTAAACTCATTACGGACGCCGAGTTCGGATGGCCACTATCAAAAATTGATTTAAAAAATAAACCATATGTATTCGACGATAAGTGGTTGTTGGATGAAACATTTTTAGAACGTCATAAAGAAAAATCGACACTGAGGTCGATGAAAAACGTAACTAAGACACGAGTAGAAAAATCCCTAGAAGAATTTAAAGATTATTTTGAAAATTTCAGTTCAAAATATGCCACCTAAAATATTAGAAATTATGATGAGACCCAGGCTCTATATTTCGCCGGGGAGTTAAGTATCCCGAAAGAATAATGAACCAGTCCAAAGGCTGTATATACATTATGTTTGACGCACCTGCCGATGGTGACCATACGTTGTACATAAGTCTGAAAATTTATAAACGGAGCTGTGTAAAGATAAATAAATATATATATACAAATAGGTAAATTTTTTTTATGAACGAAAAACAAAACCGGCTTCAAATATCGCTCCGTATTCATTTTATAATTGATTTTCAGGATTCCCCTCCGCATCTCCGGAGCCCAAGATCCAATACCAATGAAATTGATATGGGACTACGTGGGAAGCACCGGCTTTCTAATTTAAAAAAAAAACATCAAAATCGCTTCATCCAGTTGAAAGTTTTGAGGTTACATACATGAAAAAAAAAACAGTCGAATTGAGAACCTCCTTCTATTTTGAAGACGGTTGAAAATCGGTTTGATTCCGTCCCGCTCTTTGACTTGTTCACGAACACAGTGATTCCTCGGGTTAGACAATTGGAAGGAACGAAATCAATAATTGGTGATAATTTATCCAGCCATCTAAATCCGAATGTGGTCGAATTGTGCGTGACTTATCGAAAACGTTTCGTGTTTTTGCCTCCATGATCAACACAAGGTACTCAACCATTATTTTCGGATCGAGGAAGGTGATGAAGAAAAATTCTTTAGCAATATAAAACAGATAATCCTAAACCAGCATCTCTAAAATTCCTCTTTCATTGAAGAAATTGATTGTTGCCGCCAATATGAAGAAACAAAAGTTGATAAATGGCTTTAAAATTAGGAACATATTCCCGTACAAACATTAAGAGGAATATAAATATACAACATTAATCATACACTACTTGACTATCTTAAAGACAATAAAAAAAGACACAAATTAAATATGCCGAGTGGTAAATTTGTTAGCAGCGTAAATATTTCTACCGTCCAACAAATAAAGAAACCATAAAAAGCAAAAACTACAAGACTTTAGAAACATCACAGGAAACTTTAACTACAGAAATACGGGGACAAACCTCTGAAGTGGGCTTACTTAAGGGCTTACGTAAGTAAAAAAAAACGGGTTCCAACCAAAACTTCGAAAAAAAAAAGGCTGCGAGTAAGCTGAAGTCACTCACAAGAAGAAAACGTCGTGTTCAGACTTCTTCTGATTCAGAATCAAGTTAATATTTCAGTCATTTTCATTTTTTTTTTAGAGTGAATGTTTCATTTCATTTTTGAAAGCTTGAGTTCATTTAGATTTTATTGTTTAAAAGAGTTTTTAACTTGTTTCATTAGGTTTAGGGGCAAAATTAAATTTTCTACTTCTTTGAAACAGTTGATAAAGTTTTTGTTAAATAGGTAGATACTAATTTGTTTCACCACACTATTTAAATATTAACTTACCAACCCTCCTAATAAAGAAAATATTTATAACTGACAACCCTGGCGACATCAGCTTGTTTCCATCAAATTCATACATGTTGGGGCAACTTTCCCTAAATGTGGCCAGTGGTAAAATAAACCGTAAGAAGATTCCTCAACAGCAGAGTTAATTTAGCTTAAGAAACAATAGTTCAATGGTTTCATCAAGAGAATACGCGAGTGGTTTACGGATTAACTAAAAAAAATCTAAATAACTAGATATGTGTTGGCTAAAAATGTCAAAGATTATGCTAATGTTGCCACAGTTGACGAAAACCATATAAAATAAATTATTTGTAAAGTAGTAAACGACGAACGACATTGTAAACCATTAAAATTGCCTCTTTTATATACATAATTTTTTTCTCAAATACGTATAACGATGATATTAGCACCAATTATTAAAAAAAAATGTTTGCTATATTCTTCAGATTCATCCATTGTCTGTTTGTGTGTTTACTCGTTATTGAAAGTTGTGTACCGTCACAACTAAAATTGTACGTAATAAATATTATTAAGAAAATTAAGAATGTTATAAAAACTATAATAAATAATACTGTTAAAACTTATGTTTTAAATATTAATGTTACATTATTTATTTAATAATTGCATGTAGTAACACTTAAAACTAACCTGCCATCACTACGTAGGAATTTTAAAGTTTCAACGATAGAATAACCCTTATTTCTAAAACGTTACGATTCAATATCATTGATGCGATTGCTCTATCCGCATAGGCCAGGTCGCATTTTTTTCAATGACCAACCCACGATTCCGATAGCTTCGCGATTTCTTTACGTATCAAGTGAACAGCTACCGTATTCCCTAGTGCTTACGGTTTAATTTCTAAAACTAATAATATCACGTGGTATTAGTTATTTATTTACTATTGTGAGAACTTCACGGTTGTCTTAAAATTATATATAGCCAAATTTCATCCCTCGGATCGCTGCGTTAATGACATTAGTGATTTTAATCCATAGTTACTTTGATGCTAGTTGTTTTTGAATGCCTCCTTTTTATTTCGTCAGAGATTTCCATATTATGAATGGATGCACAGTTTACGACCGCGCAATATTTTTTTTATTTATGTCTCTGTCAACCAAGTCTTCTAACGTATTTAAGACGGAACCTTGCAAACGAACGAATTTAATCCAATGCAAGTGCTGATTAGCGTTTCTAAGTACGGTGATTAATTTTACTTAAAACTAAAATATTAAATGCATATAAATGAAAAAACGGCGAGGATTAGATCACGTATTGACAGAACGGCATTCCAAAGTGTTTTTACGTTTTAGTAACAAAACTCGTTAACGCAAACAAAAGTCAAACTTACTCTTCTACAATAGTTTAGAACCGCGATCAGAGTGCCTTCGACTCGCATCATCATCCTGTTCTTATCCCACCTATGCGGGGTCGGCAGACGAATCATTTTATTAGAGGTAACTGCCAGGTTTTCACCACCTGCCTTGACAACAAATACGCAGACCAGGAACAACTGTCTGTGGGTCACACAAATACTTGTCCCGTGGAAGTAATAAAAATGGCGTTATAACTAAATAATAGTCAGTATGGACAAATCCAAAGACGTTAACTATTATGATAATAAATAATACTTGTCCCGTGCGGGATTTGAACAGGCACTACCACCGGCGCCGAAGCCAATACCTGCAACTTGGAGTAGAAGCCCTCATTCGAAATGATACTTTATGCCGTGAAGAGAAGGCTCAAAATCGCGCCTCGGCCGAGCGTGGAGACCTCGGCTGGGTGACGGCCACTCCCGCCAGCCGCTCGCACACCGCCTCCAGCTTTGCGTCCAGCATGAGGGAAGCTATCTGGTCGTCCGACAGCATTTCCACGCTGCAATTTAAAATGTGAACTGGAGATTCGAAAATATTCGACTATTTTTATTTTTTTACAAACATTTCCCTCACTTTAGGATAGCATTATCTGTGTTGTACGTTTTATAGACATAAATTTCACGCGGACAAACACCCAAATGCTATCTGTGGGTAACACAAATAGTTGTTCCGTGTGGGAATCGAACCCACGGGCCCCAACGCCGAAACCAGTACCTAGGTACTGCGCCACAGACTTATCATTGTCATGATTGAAGTTACACTTATTTTGGCGCGTTTGGAAAAAAATGATTAAAGTGACTTTTAACGATGGGTGACACTTAAAAGCGACAACGACTTCACGGTGTTACCATGGCAACCAATAAGAACTTCTTGACCTTTACCTATAATTCTATTTATTCAATTAAACCGTTATCGATTGCATTTGAAGCCATTTTTTCACAAAGGTTACTGTCAATTTTTTTAGTTATTTTTCTTTTACGCTACAGAAGCTTCTCTTCCAGTCAATATATTAGGTGGGGTAGATATAAATATCAAGTAGATAAAAATCAGTGAAGGTGGCTTTCATCAGCGTCTAATATGAAATGTTTGAATGTCTTTTTGTTTAACGGCCTCTCTTTGTACACTCTACCAATGACATTACAGTAAATTTTCATCCTGTGAGTGTTGCCAAAAATCATCTATCTAAAATCTTGTGCAATTGCCAAAAAAACTGTCTCACACGTGTCATATCAAATGAATTATTAGTTTATTTAGGTAACAGGAACAGGCGTAGATGATGGATGAGGATGAGACGTACATCTTTTGATGTTAAATAAAGAAAGAAAAAAAATTAAAGAAAAGCGAGAGGATTTCTCCTCCCTTTCTGCCATCCGGCAATGGCCGATTGATAGAGAGAGAAGGTAGATCCTGGAAGCGACATTCACCTGGGCAGGCTGTCCGTGTCCGAGTGGCGATCCGAGGAGGCGGAGGAGGCGGTTGGTGAGCGGCGTCGAGGGGTGCGGGGGGCCGAGCCCGAACCGCGTCTCTCCCCGAATAGTGACAGCCCTGAAATTGGTACACGGGTTTATAGAGGATTTCCTAGTGTGGATAGTGACAGCCCTGAAAATGGTACAAAGGTTCATAAAGGACACCCTAATGTGGATAGAGACAGCCTTGAAAATGGTACACAGGTTTATAAAGGACTCCATAATGTGGATAGACACAGCCCTGAAAATGATACAGGTTTATAGAGGTCTCATTGTGGACAGTGATAACGGTGGAACCAAGGGATAAAATACACGTAAAATAAGATAACAAAGTGAACAGTTATAGCACTAGAAATAATTTACACTTTTTAATTTAGATTAAATGCCAAAGTTGTTAAGGGCCATTCTTACTTATGTAATAAAATACTCTAGTACACTTTGAAGACTATCATGGTAACATTTTACACTTTAACAAAAAAGGGAGATTGATGATTCAGGTTTTACACCTATTGATTTCTTGTTATTACGCGAATTTTATATATTGTTAAATGAAACTGTTAGCTTTACGTAAAACCCGATATCTTCATCGGAACACGTTCTCTCAGTCCTAGGGAATGTGAAGAAACTGTTGCGGTCACCAGGGGCCTATCAGTACAAATATACCTTGGAACATCTCCTTCACCCTTTCGCCGGTGTCGTGCAGTAGCGCGTCGAGGCTCTGCCGCCTTGCGTCGGCCATCTCGGGGCGGAGCCCCCCCCTCAGTTGGCCGCGTAGGGCTCCCCTCTCGGCGCGGATGATGCGGCGGGGCGAGGCCGCCGAAACGCGAGTCTCCACCGGACTCGGCGGCGAGGGACTCTTCTCGGGGCTGGAGCGAGGGCGCAGCGAGCACTTCTCGAAGCTCATCTGGTCAATCGAATTATGTTCATCCCATTAAATCGACATTTTATAGAAGCTCATCTGGTATATGGAATTAAGTAGTTGGAAGTAAGTGGGCAACATACCTCCTCCGGCATAAGAGTCGGTACGTACCTCCTCGGGGACGGCACGCGAGAGCGAGATATAAACACGACCGAGGGGCAACATACTTCCGTAGAAGGGTCGGGACGTACGTCCTTGGGGACGGCACGCGAGAAAAAGACAGAAACACGACTGAGGGGCAACATACCTCCTACGGCATAAGGGTCGGGAGGTATATCCTCGGGGACAGCATGTTAGAGCGAGACAGAAACTGGAGTGAGGGGCAACATACCTCCTACGGCATAAGGGTCGGGAGGTATATCCTCGGGGACAGCATGTTAGAGCGAGACAGAAACTGGAGTGAGGGGCAACATACCTCCTCCGAGATAAGGGTCGGGGCTTAGCTCCTCGGGCACGCGAGAAAGAGACAGAAACACGACTGAGGGGCAACATACCTCCTACGGCATGAGGGTCGGGACTTATCTCCTCGGGGACGGCACGCTAGAGAGAGACAGAAACACGTTAGAGGAGCAAGATACATCCTCTGAGGGGCAACGTACCTCCTCGGGGCTGGAGTAGTCCAAGTCGATCTCGGTCCACGTGTCGGTATCGCCGGCCCTCGGACGCTGGGCGTCGGCGGCGCGGCGCAGCCACTCGCGCACGCTCTCGTCCGCGCTGTGGTCGCACAGCTCCTCCAGGTTCTCGCTGTTGTTGGACTCGCTGGCCGTGTCCGTTATCGTCGACCGATCTGAACACCAAATCCAAGTTTCGTTTTCGTTCGTTTTCATTTACGCTCTGCCATTCGGGTGGCGAAACGCTCCACGGGTATTTCAACACTCGCAGGATAAGGTTTGTAAGTGCGTAAGGGCCGTAAAGCCGGGGTGGTTATCACGTGGGTGAACATTTGACGAGCTTGCGCGTTTACCGTTTATAGCCACAAGATGTAGTGCACTGGCCAGGTCATGCTTATGCTTAACAAAACACGGTTATAGCATATGTACAATAACCTAAATAAGATAATAGTTTATTTTGGCCGTAATCATTTCAGATCGGGGTTGATGAAGATCCAAGATGCAAAATTGACACAAAATTGCACCAAAGCTTGCAAAGTGGGTACCAAAAAAAATTGTATCCATTTTGAATAAAATAAATCAAAAGCCGAAACAAAATATTTACCGTTTCTAGTCGACTGCCGTCTGGATCGATGGCGATGGATCTCATCGGATATCCTCTCCAAGTTCCTCAAAGCCGACGAGTACTGCTGCTTCGCTTCGGCGACCTGCTCCTCCAAGGTTTGGATGCGAGCTTTCTGCGCTTCTAGCGCTGCGTTGATACGCGCTTTCTCCTCGAAATACGGCCTGAAAATTACAAGTCATTAATCCGCCTCGAAGGACCATCAAAATGTTGCAACAGGTAGAAAAAGCATTATAATATAACAGATTATAATTAATAGACACTTTGTAAGTTAATTATAAGTTTTGTAACATGTTTTTTGTAAACTTTGAACACGGTAAGGGACTGTGGGTTATCCCAAAAGTTGGTTATCCAAAAAGTGCTTACTACACACGATAACGTTATCGTTATCCTGTGTAATAACGACTTTTTACATACATAAATATCACGTGGACAAACACCCAGAGCAGAAACAATTATCTGTGGATCACACAAATAGTTGTCTCGCGTGGGAATCGTACACGACCTTCGGCACCGAATCCAATACCTTCTCAACTGCGCCACGGAGTCATCGAAGGACAAGTATCAGTTCAAATCTCAAATATTTTATTTCAGAATATAGAATAAAGATCACAAAACTTTTGGGGACGAACTTTGAAACCATTATTCACCACATTCATAAAAATTTACCTTATAATAAGCATACAAATTGTTAGTATAAAAATATTAACAAGCAAAGACAGTATTTTTTTAATAACTTTCTGACAAGTGATCATTATTCCATTCATTCATTTACATAACACAATAGAGGTAAAATTTACAAAATAACAAGAGTTGTAAGTACTGTTCGTGCACAATCTACAGACAAGCTTACACAATACGCATTTTAATGACAGAGTAAACAAACAACAGAACATGCAGATATAAAAGAAAAAAAAAGTGTACCAAACACGAGAATAGCACGCTGGGCGACGTCGTGCGGCCTGTGAAAGAAAAATTGTTCTGTGCAAAACTAAACTAAACAAGCTTAGGAGGTATGTGCGCAATAAGCCAGAACTATTGTGTTGAAATTTATTGTTAGTTTGTAACAAGCGATCTGAAATCTACATAATCCTGAAGTAAGGATTTCCTTATCTATGCAAATTTCTATATTAAATACTGGCAACATATAAATTAAAGTCTCGTAAGGCTATAATTTATTTTTAATATTATTACAACAAAAAATCATAAGCAGTTTTCATTTAGTAGTGGTCTTTAACACATATTGTAAACCTTTAAATATTTGTAATTTACAAATTTTCTGTATATAATTTGATTTAAAATTTAGATGTATTTACACATACTAAACTATAACAATATAAACATTACTCGTTGCACCTATTTATTTCAAACTTCTAAATTGAATAGTGACATGTTATTTAATGCATTAATCTTTTAATGTTATGAAGCAGTGGTTTTGGATACTGATATCAAGATTCATAAGGCTGGTCACTCACCTAGACTTGGCTATGTGCCTCTTCAGGCCATTCTGCAACTGCTGCACTAAAGCCGCGGCCGCCCGGTGTGACGCAGCCTTAGTTCTTTGCGTTAACGTAGCAGAGGCGCGGTCTGCCTCAGCCTTACCAAAAGGGAGTAACATGTAACATTTAACAGGGAAATGACTGCACAAGAAAGTTAGCATACCATGTTAAATACAACCATTTTTACCTGAAAAGTTTGATTGATTCAAGTGAGACATATGATTAAAAATAAAGGAGTTAAACATTCACCTCTCTAAGAGTTTGGAGGATTATTGCAGACAGCTTGTTTCCATCCTCAAAGCCTACTAAATAGTGTTTCTTTATAATCTATACAATGTCCAAAAAACTGTGCCAATAGTTGGCGTAGTTTTTTGGGGGCCACCCCAGTTGGGAAAGGGCAACCCTAGAGTGCCTCGAGCACAGGTGGATCATAACATTTATTGTTAAAACATTTAGTTAAACTATTAGTTGATATTGAGATTTATGATGTTGATATTAGAATCAAACTTAAATCGGTCTGTGAATCAAATTTAAATGTGTCAAAAAAAACCTTAAACTACTTTACATCAAGGAAGGGTATTATGTGTTATTTCATGATTCCAAACATTTATCCTCATTATTTGAAAGTAACCACCTAATTGTTGTAAGCAATAACCCTATGATGTTGTCATCTTTGAAGAGTGAGAGAGTGATATTTCAAACTTTTACTTTAAGCTGGTCTCCTTAATAGCTGGCCAAGTCATGTAGCAATTAAACTTGATATGCTAACCTAAGTGAGAATGTGCATATTGTATACCTGATTGACTCTGTGTGTTGCATGGTTGAGCATCTCCTGCCACGCTGGGTCGAGGGTGAGACCGCCTTCGGAGCCCTCAGCGAGCCTCGCCAGGCCCTGTTCCGCCAGGTACACCATCTCCCTAGCGGCCGCGTGTGCACTGTTTGCTTTGTCATAGGCGAGAGTCGCTGCTTGCAATTCTTGCGAGGTCTGGAGCAAGTCACAAGTCTTGGGGCTTTAAATGGTATCAGACTATAGGAGCAAGCACAGCAAGTCACAAGTCTTGGTGCTTTTAATGGTTATAGGCAATAAGGTTTAATTTAGGCAAAGTGAACAAACTTCAATAATATAGTATGTGCACTGACAATGACATTATCACCAATAATCATCAGATGGGGTGGTTACATTATACTAACGGACTTAAAAGCCGTAAAATATTATGACACAATTTCTTATAACAAATAATGATTTCTAGTACATGCCAACAATGGTCACAATCTAAATCTTGTTTTGATGTACAAAATGATAACTTATTCTAGTGCATATTTTTTTTATTAATGCCATTGTTATTTCAAAATCTTAAAATTATTATAACAGTTTAAAGGTAAATCCTAATATAACTCACAATATTAGCTCTAAATCTAGCCTCATAATAGGGCCTTGCTTTGTGAACGCTGGTACCAAGTTTCTTTGTCAACTGCTGTATACGTAGATGACCTTCAGCGAGAAGACGTCGGAAGGCAAGACGGGCTTCATCTAGCTCAACCTCGAGACGGTTGATCTCATCTGTAGCTGTGTTTAAACGTTCAAGTTCAATCTGAAAGTTGTAACATTGACATTTAATAAACATGATTATACTACCAATAATATTAATTTATTCCACCTCACAAGAATTCAACAAGAAATAATGGTATTCTGCGGATTCTTATAGTGGGTTAGGCGCAAGGCGAGTCACAGGTCTGACATAGCAATCCAATTCCATGTGGTCTTTTGGTTCCCTACCCCTATATTGAATATAAAAATGCGTAGCCAGAAGCTTGCGTCGGTTACCCAGAGTTGAGCAAGCAACATTCAGGGACGACAAAGCCAGAGTTCTGGCAAGAGCACATGAAAGAGTAAAATTTAATTTAATTGACGGCATAGTACCGCTTTTCTTACATCTAACAACATGTATTTAGATATTTAAGTCCCATTACTGTTTTTTGCCTTCTGTGTTGCTCCAATATTTTTGAAAAACTGCTGATTTGTCAGGTTAATAAAATTTGCATTAAGTAACAAATTATTCCAATGAGTAATAACTTGTGGCAGAATAGCATTTTATGTTAGACTACCACAATAAGAAGAATTTCAGTATGTGTATATTTTTAAATTAAACTTTGTAGCATTGTGTTGAGGTAACATTTGTACACCTCATAACTTGCGGCAGAATAACATTATATCTTATCTAGCCACTAGTGGCGGTGTATTCATTTTTATTAAATAGCCACTCATGGTAAACTAGACACTTCCTACTTTTTATTACTGATTTGTTTCCATATTTCTTAATACCCATAAATACTTAGAGATTTAATAGTCATTAAGCTCATATCAAAACAAAACATAATTCAATCAATTAGAAAAATTTATAGCCAATTTCAAAAGGAGACAATGTTCTTGTGCTAGAATTATTTTTTTTAAATCCCCTAAGATTTCAAGTATAACTGATAATATTTTACTTTTTTTTCATTTATTATTAAAAAACTATACTGCATAAGAATTTACAGCCAAAAGTACCATTGAATTTTTAAAAGAAAAAATTGCAAGTTAAAAAGTAAAGTAACAGCCTATACATGTCCCACTGCTGGGCAAAGGCCTCCTCTATACAGAGGGTATCAGGGCATAGTCCACCACGCGGCCCCACTGCGGATTGGCGGACTTCACATATTTTCGAAATACATTTTTCTTTTTGTTGTTACGTTTGTAACGTAAACGTTTTTTTTCAAAGGCATGAAAATCATTATTATTTTTTTTTTTAATTTAATCTCTATGTATTAAAAATTTGCATTTACGCCAATATAATGGTGAACTTTGAATAACTATGTAATAAAATTAAGTTACAGTTGGAACTAACATTGTTGAATAAATAAAAACTTTTAAGCAAAACAATAATATTAAATGTATCACTGAAAATGCAAAATTACTTAAACGCCAAACATTTATTAAGTATTGTTACAACTTATAAATAAACAACTGCTAAAAATAACGTTGTTTTTGTATAAAAGCTAATTTTAAAAATTATAAAATTTAGTACTTTGGTATAATTTTGTATTGCGAAAACCGATTTAATTTTTTTGAAAAAACTATCGATTTATTTACCTGTACTCGGGGATCTAAAGCTTCAGAGCATTCAGCAGCGGTATCGTTCATTTTTAAATCAAAATAAAAGCATTTTAAAGTAAGTTGCAGACTTGCTCAAGTATAATATTCATTTCTATTTATTGCAAATTACAACGCCATCGCCAAAAAGCAAATTTCGCCAAAAATAAATCGAAATATATAGTGACTATTCAGGCTACACGTTCGATATCTATTATCTTGATTCAATTTCCTATTCCTATTTATTTTATTAGATACCTATTGTATAATGTTTTATCTGTGACAGTTAGTTACGTTAACAACATCATAGACGATGATCAGAGTACATATCGAAGCACACAAAATAAGACTTGCTATATCAAAATATTTTTATGAGCTTTTCGTAGCTAGATCTGAAACCAATGTAACGAGAATTAATTAACTACTATTACTACCTTAAAGAATTCATAAATTTTTTTCATCACTATAACTGTTAATGTTGATGCCGAACAGATTTTATATTGATTTATTTATTATGGGTAACCAAAAGTTGTTAAATTGTAATGAGTATTTTATTTGGTGGTGGGTGTTGATTGGTAATCTCAGATTATACATACTCTTTTGATGTCAACTCTGACCTGTTTGATTTATGTATTATGTTTGAATTACTTTAAATTTGGAATGTTAGTTTTATTTGTTCAGACTGAATTGTGTCATATTTATTGATTCCGTAAAAATTGCTGGGGAAGTAGGTAATATGTATAACTATTTGACATAACTTGTATTTTATATAAATTTCACAATGATTACGTTTCGTCAAAAATAAGTTCAAAATGTTTAAGTTGAAATAAATAGTTTTCTTATCAGTCCTTAAGTGTCTTTTTGGTTTGAAATTGATCCCATTAGCCACATCTACCATTCAAGAGTGGGGAGGAGATGTAGGTTCGTATCCTGCAGCGCTATATGTACGTACGTATAATGTACCGTGTACGTATATTTATCAACAGTTTATCTACAGAAATTTACATTTTGTCTTTTTTAAAGAGTGCAAGAAAAGCACTAAAAATAATAATTAATCATAGGTTATAAAATTTTATAAATTACATAACATTATGACTCATAAAACATTATTCTCAAAAAAGTAAGGCAAAAAAATTGGGTTTAGTATTTATATGTCAAAGGAGTATTTGGTGATCTTAACAAGCTATGAAATTTTAGATTAAAATTACAATTAATGACATGTTTTATGTGTATATCGAATAGCTTTTAAAAATATTTTTTCCACTATCAAATTAATACAGAAATTATAGAATGGTGATTTTTAAAACATCTGCCTGTTCTCGATCTCATTATCATTTTAGAATTTATAACATTTCTGTAGTATTACTTTACTCTATGATTTAGAATGATTTATTATCTACTCTAAGAGGTAACGTCAAAATTTGTTTGACATTTATCGTATACCTTTCGTCCAATCCAAATTGTTCGATAGCTTTACGCTTTCTTTCAGCGTTCGTCAACAGAAATAATAAAATATGGTACCTAATCAACAGTTCTGTCCTAACTCACTTACATTTTATTCGCGTACTTATATTATTGTGTGACTTGTGTACTTGCAGGCAACCGAAGTTGAAGAAACTATCAAAAGAATCCAAGCCCATAAAGGTGTTATGGGAGTAATCATTGTGAATCACGAAGGTTTGGTCGATTTTGTTTTCTGTCAAAGAAAAATTAAAAGGGAAAATTTTAGCAATAATACGCAATTGATGGTTTAATAAAACTTTATTAGGTTTATTTTCATGGAATAAGACCGTATGATCTACTTATTTTGCCTATTATTTTAAACAGTATAAATGTAAATAAAAAACATTTAAATATTTACATTATGTTCCTGTAGGTTTTTCACTTAAATTTTTTTTAATCAATAGTGAAACAACTGTAAATGTTTGTCATGAAATTATGTACTTTTTAACTATGAGTTAATTATTTAAAGTATCATTTCAAGTAGCTTGTTCAGGAAAATTTAAGGGTTGGGTTTTGAATCGAGTCGTAAGTACACTGTAAGTTTGGGGGGATTCAGGAGGTTCGTACCAAGCACTCTTAACAGGTTTTTCTGCCAGACATGCGTAAAAAATTTGATTACCTACTTTATTTAATTTAAAAATCTTAACGAAACATGAAATGGAACGTAATTTTGATAAATTTCAGTGTTTTCGAAGATGCGAATAATAAAAAAAAATTTAACGATAGAGAAAAATCAGTAATGAATTAATCAACAAGCAGAATTCTCAGATCGCATTCAGTTTATGAGAAAAAAAAATTTTTTCACTAAGAAAGTGCACATTTTATTAATATTAATAAAACTGAATACACAGTACTGCCAACATTATAAATATAGGAAGCAGCCGATGTCATACTCGTACTGTTTGTTCAATCAATTTTTTTTTTAAATTAATGAGTTGCTGATCTAACACAGAGCAAACCGGATTGGACAGATTAGGTTAGAAGGTTCAGGCAGGAGCGGAGCTCCTTAACCTTTGTGGTTATTTTTTATAACTAACTACGAAGACTCGTTTTAAAATTTCACCCAAATTTAATCATAATTTCACATTTTTGCTAAGGAAATGTTCCATTTTATTGAGCTCAAAACATAAATTCTATGTTTATGTTTTGATTTCAATAAAATCGTTGATTTTAGAGATTACGGTTGGTTTCAATATTCTATCTACATATAGATTAGGTTACTAGCACTAGGTGTTTGACATTAGCTCTATAATACTTAAATCAAAATTCTATCTCCAGTAACCAAATTTATGTGTTAGTTGAATATTGAAACTGTAACTGAATGTTACAGATTAATCACTTATTAATTATTGTATTAATCAAACTTTTATATTAGGTTTGTTAGGTCACTATCTATACAGCATGTCGTTACCACTGCGACAACACACATATAGGGGATAACTTTTTAAAGTTGTATTAAACATTTAAATTCTTTAATCATCAATATTTACAGAGTTATTAAATTTTCCAAAACAAAGAATTTTAGAACAACCTTACCTATAAAAGCGTAAAGTAAAGTTCAATTGTAAAGGTCACAAAGCATATGAATGGGTTGAATGAATTTAAAAGAGACAAAACATACTGTTAGAAGGAGAGGCTTGTAATAAGACGCTGTGGCGCGAGTTGTATAGGATGTTACAAATTTTGTTTCTTTTTTACTTAATTAGTTTGTTTGAAAAATATTTTTTTTATTCATGGATTTTGTTTAACGTTAACATTTTTTTATGATTATTATTAGTAGCGTTAGACGTGTGTTCATTTATTGTCGCGATGGTAACGACACGCTGTATATGAAAGATAAAAAAATAAAGCTTCATAGCCTTTTGAATGTTGTTTAGTGCTCTAAGTTTTGTTCTAAATGTCAAAACTTGTTAATAAAGCAAGGAAAGAAGTTGAAGGGCATTAGCGACCCACAGATAGTTGTTTCGCATCTGGGTGTTTGTCCTCGTGCAATAATAAGCGATAATCTTATCGTAAAGTGAGGGCAATGTTTAAAAAAAAAAATGAAATAGAAATAGGTATTTGTGAATTATGTTCCTTATATATCCCGTATAACTGTATCTTACATGTCTCAATTGCAAAACATATGTAAGCCTAATGTTAACAGTCCTATTTTTAAACGTACAGGAATACCGATCAAAAGCTCTCTGGACAATGCTACTTCAGTATTATATTCTGGCTTGATTGGTCAGCTCACTGAGAAAGCTAAGAATGTAGTTCGAGAAATGGTAATTTGCAGTAATTTTTAATAATAAAATACTACAGAAATAATTGCATGATTGGAAAAATTAAAAGAATGAAATACATAACTAATTTCCTTCATGAATTTTATATCAAATTGTCTCATAAGTAATAGATGATATAATTTTCACATACTTGCATTTATCACATTCCAGGACTCAACAAATGAGCTGACATTCCTTCGTGTTAGGAGTAGAAGACATGAAATTTTGATTGCACCTGATCGCGAGTTCATTCTCATAGTGATACAAAACACATCAGACTAGTCATTTACCCATTAAATTTGCTTAAATGAAAATTTTGTGGCATATAGGGCGATAAACTTGTTATATTTTCTGTAGTTTTCTCTAAACTTCAACATTGTTCAAACTGTAATAACTGTAATGATACTGCAAAGTCCAGTAATTTTAAAATAACATTTTGTTTCAATAACAAAAAAGCAGACCCCTTACATTTTTTAGTTTCATATTGTAATTATTAACATTTCACTTAGACAAAACAATTTCGTAAGTAATTTGAGTTTGTCTACCATAAAAATGAGATTGACTAATATATAATGGAAATGGTGGTAAATTATTAATATTTTGTTTTCATTTCGCACTGTGTAAAAATATATTACAATTTAGTAGTGCATCATTTGAGTTACATCAACATTTTGTGGCACTTACCTTGAATTTATCTAAGTTGTAACAAGGTATGCTGTTTTACTCAAATAAAACTTCTTATTTTATTTATTAATACTTTTAATACCGCAAATAAACTTTTCGGTAATTTAGTTCGTAAGCATAAATGTCAACTTTTTAAAACACTCATTATTAATCAAAAAATAAAAATGGCGATTTCAATGATTCCAACTTATTTTTTGTTGCATTTTTTTCGGTATACTATGTATTTCTAAAATTATATGCAATAGTATATGGTTTTCTTCATATTATAAATTACTACGAATAAAGCCTAATATTTTTTAAATATTACATTTTAAAAAATACATTTAATTTTAAAAAACAGTAATTTACATTTTAAAAAACCGCAATAGCGGTTTTATTTAAATAAAACGGGCTGTAAACTTAATTTCTGAATTCTCATTTCATTTCTATGCGTAGAAATGTTTACCTACTTGTCTTGTTTTGTGAACCTAATACTCTCTCTAAATTTGACTTTCGTTCATTGTGCCACTACTGATCGAGCCTCTAGGGCACCATCGAATCGTAATGCTAAATTGAGTGACAGCCCAAGCCGAGGTCCCCTTTCGGTGGCCCTTGGGCCTCGTGACTCTATGGAGCGTCCGCCAAAGCAACGTAAGAGATTGGCAGCCTCCTAAACCGGTGAATCTAATAATAGCGTGACGGTCTAAAAGACAAAAAATAGTCAGTTCTCAAGGCTCATGTCATAAAATGTTTTGTATCAATGAAATGCCTTCTTAATAAGAAAGATGAGATTACTTTCGCAAGTAGTGTTTTTTAATGAAAAAATTATTCTATTTTACCCAATGCTTCAGCTCAATGTCCGGGTGCCCGCTTTTAATTCAATATACACTTCAAACTGAGGTCGCTCTCCGTTGCTGGCACCAATGAAATTGTTAATTTTAAGTGCTGACTTATCACGTGCTCAGCAGAAAACATCGTGAAGAAACTGCATATTTTCGAAATAAAATAAACAATTAAAATATTTCGAAGATGTGTGAAGTCCACAGTGGGACCGCGTGATGGATTATGCCCTGATACCTTCTGTACTCACTCACCCTGAAGGCCTTTGCCCAGCAGTGGGACATGTATAGTGTGTTACTTTACAATACCCTCTATTAAATAATTTTCATTCTTCTCTGGAGAGATCGTTTACAGCCTTCTTCTTCATGGGCGGGAAATCTTTTTCCCGTGAACCGCTTTTTTCAGCTTCAGGAACACATGGTGCCAATCCACACTCATGAGTGGCAACACTTGTCGAGTAAACTGACGCGTTCGTGGAGGAAAGAGACACCCACGGTCCGATATCCTCACTTATTTTCCTTGATTGCTTCCTATAATTAATTACGTAAAGTGGTTGCGTAAGTTACTGCGGTTATACTTTGACCTTTTTCGGTTTATTCAATAAGAAAAAACCCTTTTGAGGCCCAGAATACATTGAACTTCTTCGCAGGTGCTGAACCCTTCTTGAGCCACTGCATTACATTAACTCTGGTTTGCTCTGAGTCGTAGTGACAAACCGTGGTTTCTTCTCCGGCAAAGACGCAACCTAAAACTGTTGGTAGAATTTTCATTCGAATTGCTTTCTATTAGACCATTATAGAGGACAAATTTCTCGATTTGGTGTCAAAAACAGGATCCCACCCGATCGAGGGTGATCTTCAATGCTCTCTCTGCACCTTTTAAATTAAAAACAACGACGGAGCGGAATCCTTATAATCTAATGGCCAACATCTCTTCGTGAAAGCTTTTTTTTTTGAGTTTTTCTTTGTTTCGTCAATAATTTAACAACAGTACGCTTGGTTTTACCAAAATTTTGTCTATAATATCAGGTATATATTCTTTCACGCTGGTCTTGATTGACATATAGCTAACATTAAGCATAACAGGGCAAGTAAGTTTGCTGACCTAGAAAAAAACAAAACCCACACAATGATTAAATAAGATGATCAACAAATCCACGCAAAAGAACACCGTTACCTACCAAGCTGACTCGCGAGGCTATTAAAATAAGGAAACATCCAAATTTCAGTAGAGAAGATGGATGGGTTTTACCATCGGTCTGGAATCCCACTATCAATAAAATAAAATTCAAACCTGTGGGCACCAGCTCTGCAAGACTGACAATACCGTTAGCGTTTACTGCGTGGTAAATTAGTTATATTGAAATCTAAACCAATGATGTTTATTTATTCATTTTCTGTATCTACCTAATATATAATAATCCTCTTCAGTTTCAGAACCGCAAGAATAGGTTTTAACAGAACGTAAATTAACTGTGTCCAAATACGAAGGTTTTTTTCAAAATAATATAAAATAAACATTTTATATATATTAGAGATAAAATTGAACCTACTTGAGTATGGGAAGTACTAAGCCAATATCATTTTCTTCTTTGGTGAGTGCTGTGTGATCCAGAGCAATCATGTTTTTCTGTGTTTGTGTAGTTTGATGTAAGCGCGGCGTTTGGAAAATTCGTCGGTAGATTTCATGATTTCAATCATTGGAAGTTATTTAGAAGAAGTAATGAGGTAATATTAGCGCTTTTATCACAAAACAATAACGTAGAGCGATCGGTTACGAAAAGTAAATCGGGCAAACAATAAATTTACAAAATTAGTCATTACGAGAACATAAAATTCGCGAAAATAATTATGTCGGAGAAACATGATGATCAAACGAAGTATGCAGACAGGCTACTAACATGAAAAATAAGAATACGACTTAAGCGATTCAAAAGCAGCCTAGTACGCGAGTATATAGTATGTATGATAGAATCTGGGACCTTGCTCTAGCCGTCGTGTACGCTGAGCCAACTGTGTGTTTGTTATTATACATAATTATGTATTGCGATTTGCGTACCACACGTTATTTTGTCGAGCGTCGCCTCGTTCTAGAACCGATGCATTGGTGCGGTGGAAATCTAATATATAAAATTCTCGTGTCCCGGTGTTTGTAATTGAAATGCTCCGAAACGGCTCGACCGATTTTTGTGAAATTTTGTGTGCATATCGCCCAGGGTGGAGAATCGGACAACATCTATTTTTCATCCCCCTAAATGTTAAGGGTGGTTCACCCCTAAATTTTTTTTCTACTCTACAATACATTTCTACTCAACAAAAACAATGTTTGCCGGGTTAACTAGTTAAATTATAATATATAACGAACGCCAAGGAATTACACTACGTTGGTCTCTTCCGGATTTGTCGAAATGTCTGATTTTTCTTACATTTTCCTTTGAATAAAACTTACTATGTGCTTACAATAACACATTTAATAAAAATTAATGATAAAATTTAAAGTACAAAGACGACATTTCTCGTTAGAAACATCGTTGAATGTTTCTGTTCCAAAGTTCTTTGTAAGATGTCGCATGCACTAAAGGGAGCAGACTCTGCTGGCACACACGCCAAGCATTGCTTAAAATGACGCCGATAGATGTCGAAAATAGTTGTTAATTTATCTGAATTATCAAAATTCCTCAATTTAAAACATTTAATAATTTTTTAGATATTTTGAAATAACACTTCAAAAACTCTCCACAACCGCGTTAGAGAAGCTAGAGGGTATGAAATGAACTTAGCAGTTGTCGACGGAGTAAAGTGTGCTGAGTTGAGGAAACTGCAGTATATTTCAAGTCTCATGCTAACTACCTATTTTATTCATTACCACTGCCTAATACCGACACACTACGGTCGCAGCGCCACCAATTTAACGCCTTTAACGTTATTTAAAAATATCTCCAATTATCTATTAAATTTTATGTCCTAATGAATCTTTTTTCCATTTTATTATCCATTCTACACATTTTAAAATAATCGATCTATGGATTGATTGATTTATTTATTTATTTATATTTATGGTAAAAGTCACTAAAATCGTAACCTTGCTATTGGAGACTATTCCTTAAAATTTTTAATGTTGTGCGAATGGATAGACTCGTTATGGGAAGTACCACGGTCCCAAAGAACACCGACGTGAAATGAAAGTTTCACGTTTCGTCTGGCGAGTGAAGTAACCGGAGCCAAATTTTTTTAATTATCGTCGAAGCATCTGCAGTCCTCCAGGTGAACGAAAACCACTTAACAACAGGTGAACTACCTGCTCGCTTGCCGGAACTTGGACTAAAATACTTTCCCAAGTGTGAATGTTGGCAATTATGTGTTGTGAAAGGGAGCAAAGTGTTATGATTATTCAATACACGTAATGTACATGTAAGTTTACCTTTTATGCCACTATCTTAAATTTAAGCTTTTTAATATCTAAAGTTGATTTGAAGTATTGGTTTTGAGCAGTTAACACTTAAATCTATTGCCTTCAATGTGGCCAACGTAGGCTACTTTTCGTCATTTAGGCTACTTGGACGAGAATTGGCGATGGAACAATCTGATACGATGACTGTTCGCTTATTAAGCTACTTCAGAGGCAACCTATTTAAATTAATCAAATCACAAATTAACATAATCTTTTAACATAGTGTCTTCCAATAATTATAGGTGGTAGCATTTTGACTATAAATAAGTGAGTGTAATGCTATATGCCTATGTTGAATAAAGATATATTAATTTTAATAAAAAAATAGCCTTCCTTAGCTTCGTGATTTTATTAAAGAAGTATGGTCTATTATTAAATATATATATCTATATTATATAGATCTATTATTAGCGGGGAATACGAGAAATTTTGACGTTTATGTTACCAAATTTATAATGCAATGAAGTCTCATTGTGCTATTAATTACTATCGCAATTCTCTTTATTAGAAAGCCCGATTTACACTGAACAAGTGTTTAGTGAACTAGATAAGTATAGTGGTGTAAACCATCGGATGGTAGCAAGTCAACTTGGCTGCCTTGCAAAGCTGCCTTCCAACTAGTTCCAAATAAAATCGCTTTTTAGTGCAAGTGCACCCCTCGCACGCCCGCTTAACCCCCGCCATTTGATTCTTCACTTGCCCTTATTGTAGTTGCACTTGCCTTGCACTTATGTGAAGCGATGATTGCAATAAGCAATGGATGGGAAAAAATGGCTACATCAGGCCCTACATCGTTGGCAACACTGATTGCATTTGCAAAGCGTCGGTAATTGTCGCATTGGCTGTGTGGATTTTAATTGTGTCAAAATAATTTCTAAAGCGCATGTTTACTTGCAGTATTCCGAAAACTGTTATTTAAAGCAATATAAATATGGGAGAAAAATATGACAAGAATGGCTACAACAGTAGTGACTTTAAACGTAATTCCAATATAGATTCAAAGCCGGAGAATGAACGGGATCAAGATGGCGAAGAAGGACCTATTAACGAAAAAGCCGGTGAATATATGCGTGAACTGCTAAGTGAAAAAATTAAGTTAAGTAATGGAAAGTTCCCGCTATCGACGAGACTTCTTGATCAAGGTATAGTAAATACGAAAAAATAAATTTGGTATATTTTCTATAGTTTTCTTATTCTTATCATTTTGCATCATCCTTTTTACTTTAATGTCATACCTGTTGTTTTTGCGTACAGAGGTCGTGAAAGTACAGGCGAACGGAAGAGTTCCTCCAAGAGATTCAAAGTATGTTGATGTCTACAGAGAGAAACCTGTTAAGGTCACCGTTAAAGTATTGGTACCTGTGAAGGAGTTTCCAAAGGTTAGTTAACGATTTTTAAATATGGCATTGGAAATCAGTACTCTCTTGTGATGATACTGAAGCGTGAATCATAAATGTGAAGCTGCAATTTTCGTTATTTGGTTGTAATATTTCTATGTTCTAATATTTTAAAATTTTTCTTTATCGCAGTTCAACTTTGTCGGCAAGCTCTTAGGACCCAAAGGAAACACAATGAAGCAACTGCAAGAGGAGACCATGTGCAAAATGGCGGTACTGGGCAGAGGATCCGTTAGAGACAGGTTTGTTTAGTATAATCACTTTTTTTAATTAAATTAATTAAATGTAGGAACACAGATAAGACTTAGGTACCTACCATAAACTATATTTCGTTTATAGCAAGACATGTGAAAAATAAACACAATTGGAAAGAAAATTATACAGAATTAAGATAGGAAACTGTATTGATAATACTAGTATTAATGGGATAGTCTGCCCATGAATGCTGTAAGGGGACTGCCTCCCAGTAGTTTCTAATTTTTTGTGCGGGTGGTAGCAGGTCCAAAGGTAATAGGGCATTATGATAATCAAAGAGGCATTTGCGGCCTACCTAACTAAACAGAAGTTTAAAGTAATAAAATACTTTAAAAATATGTTTATTTTCATGAAAAAACATTTTATTTAGCGGTCTAAAACATTTATCTTATTATTATGGTGCAAAATCAACATTAATACAGTTACTTGAACAATTTATTCACACTTTTACTATAGGATTATGATCTATAAAGAATATATTTTCAGGCAAAAGGAAGAAGAGTTAAGAAATGCTCTAGACCCAAAGTATGCACATTTATCCGATGAACTTCATGTGGAGATATCGGCCTTAGCGCCACCTGCAGAGGCCCACGCAAGAATAGCTTATGCTCTTACAGAAGTAAAGAAATACCTCATACCAGATCCCAATAATATGATCCGTCCTCCGCCAATGAGAGAGATGCGAGATATGGGTGAGAGAGGTAAGATATGTTGGTGTTTATATTTCTAACTTTTTACCTTAAGTAATTTATCCATACACTAGTATGATTTCTTTTTTACTTTGTAAAGTTATGAAAAGTATGTTAAAATTGTTTTAACAATTGTAAACTTTCATACAGTACTCAGTGCTCTGTTTAAAGTTTAATTAAAGGTGCATATATTTGCATGACCAAAAGGGTATTCCAAATACTCTTAGACCAGAATACAAGCCAATAGAGATCAAGTTTGTGGAAAATATATGTGAGAAATAATAAATTAATATATACAGATTATGTTCTTTTTGTCTTTTTAAATCTATATTAGTGGGCATCCATCGAAATTGCAGTTGACAGGCATTTCAACATGAACTTTTGTTACAGAAATGGGCCAAGGACCACCGCCGGGACCAGGACGGCGGGCGCTTTTGGATGGGCCCGAAGGGAGGCCTAAGAACATTATGTACAGTGCCTGCACCGTCACCAAGCGATCCTTCTCATATAGAGACCCTGTACATGAACCAGAAGGTAAGTTTTACGAGTGCTTAGGTAATTTCTTCAGTTTATCACTTGTTTTTACACTTTGCTTTTGAAGATAATATCTCTTTTTGTAATCATTTTGTAATTGATAAAATGATGGGGGAAAAAACAATAATTTTTAATGTAAATATTCATCAGTCAATAAAACTAGATATGTTATACCTTCTTTTATTTTTTTTTATTTATATTTCACACAAAAATGAAAAAATAAAATATTTTAAGAATCAATAAAATTATGAGTAACTTCTATATTATCTTAAAATTTATTAATTAATTAAAAGTATCTATTGAAATATCTATATTATTTAGATAAAATATATTTCCACTTATTAAAAAAGCTCTGCTTTATTTCATAAACATTATTTTATTATTGTTTTGCATCAGTGAGTGTTTGCAAAGAAATGTTTTAATAACAAAAGATAATATGAAATTTATTGAGATTAATGTACATTACAATATAACAAAATAAATGATAAGCAAATTGAAATACTCTTTGTATTCAAGGAACTCAATGTGACCCATATTGATAGTCAGCTGCATAAGAAAACTTATTATAGATGGTGAATTGCTTAAGTATTGCTTATAATTTACATGTATATAAATAAATAAATAAATATTTTAGGACATATTTTTACACAGCATTCTCTAGTCCCAAACAAAGCAATTCTTGTACCATGGGTACTAGATAACTGATAAACATACTTTTCTTTTGTAAATAAATACATATTATATATATATAACAATGCCCATACATCAGAAAAACACTATGTTCATCACACAATATTTTCCCAGTAGTGAGGATTGAACCCACACCCTCTGGCGCAGGAGGCAGGTACACTACCAACTACGCCATTCGTTTATATGATGTTATAGTATTATATTTTTTTATTTAAAAAAAATAAAACAAGCATAATATATTTTTTTAGATACCACTAAGTCAGTAGTTTCAACCATTCTTTGCACAACTCAGGTAGATGAGGGAATGAGTGTAAATCTTAAAGAATTGTGATAAAAAGTCTTAATTTTGATAAGCAACTGGTGCTTATTTATATAATGCTTTTGCATTGAGATTATTTTTTATTCTTAATGCTGCTATTATCACTGAGAAGATAAACCAGCCAAGCAAAATTTGGGTGAAACTTAACAAGTGTTGCGTATGACCCATAATGTCCTACGCTTGCGTAGCTTTTACCCGCGTCCATCTTAAAATAACGTACAAACTTCATGCTTTTTAAAATAAGTTCATCCCCCTTGCAACCGGTCCTAAGCGATATCAGCGTAGCATCGACCTGCCACTGCAATTCCCCGACAATACGCGAACACTTCGAGTTAACCAAACGGCTCAAAGAAAGGGCAAAACCATTCTTAAAGAACTAAATAATTACCGACCCGACATGAACGCTACCGTTCACAAACGTCTCCCGCGCAATGCTCTCTATTACGTTCAAGGAAAGTGGGTACGTCGGACCCATCTGTGATCCCGCGGGACAACACTTTATCCACATACAGTGCTGACACACAACTAATTGGTTTCTTTCTCTCCAACAAGTACGGCGATACCCACACAACGCGTACACAAGGTACACCCGAGTTATAGGGTGGTCCTCAGTCCTTAATCAACTATTAATACAATCAATCTGCAAACGGCGAACCTCGATTGCTCGTGGGTGACGTAGATAACGCACGCATGAGCACATGCGCGCTTTATCGCGCGCATCTGTCTATCTCACGTATTTCGTATTCGATGCAGCTTCAATAGTCTACGGAATGAAAGCAAAAAAATTCTAAATGAAGAGGCAGAAGACGTCTCAGACGAACATGTATCATTTGGTAATAAATAAATAAATAGATATTTCAGGACATTTTTACAACTTTATCTAGTGCCGAACTCAGGAAAGCTATGATGGATACTATGGCGACCCGAATGGCGTAGTCGGTAGTGTACCTGCCTTCTGCGCCAGAGGGTGTGGGTTCGATCCCCACTACTGGTAAAATATTGTGTGATGAGCATAGTGTTTTTCTAGTGTCTGGGTGTTTATATATGTATTATGTGTATTTATTTACAAAAGAAAAGTACGTTTAAGTATGTCTATCAGTTTTCTAGTACCCATAGTACAAGCATTGCTTAGTTTGGGACTAGAGAATGTTGTGTAAAAAGAATGTGTCCTAAAAAAAAATGTGTCCTAAATGTGTCCTATGGGTACTAGAAAACTGATTAACATGCTATTTTATGTAAACACCCAATCACTGGAAAAAAATCGAAATCACAACCTCTGACGCAAGGGCAGTTCCAAAAGGGTTCTCTATCCACTCACTACGCCAATCGGCTCGTGGCTGATGTCCATGTAAGCATGCGAAGAGGTGTGCAAGGGAAAATAAAATTAGATACATCCTTTAGATACGGCGATTAGATACATCCTTTACCTCGGCGGTGAAGGAAAACATCGTGAGGAAACCTGCATAATTTCGAAATAATAAAAAAAAAGGAATATTTCGAAATTATGTGAAATCCGCCAATCCGCAATGGGGCCGTGTGGTGGCCTATGCCCTGATATGCTCTGCCATTGCCGAGCAGTGGGACATTTATAGGCTGTTACTTTACTCTTTTTTGTTTACATCCTCGAGTGTAAATATTTTATACGTCACCTCCGCAGGTCCTGGCGGACGTCCGCCGCCACGGATGCAGCAGGCGCCGCCCCAGATGCGAGCTCCACCGACCAAGGCCAAGGTGCTCAGCATCCTGGACAGAGCGCGTACCGCAATGGAGTCCACTTACTCCTACGACGACTCTTATTCCACGCCGGAGCCCCCGGTTAGTGTCGTGTTGTGCGTTTGAATGATTTGTGTAGTAGGGGTTGGGTAGTGAATGCCATCAACCGCTGAAACCTATAGGATCTATTATAGTCTTCCTTTCGAAAGCATTGCTCCTCACATATGATAATGATATGTAGGATAATATTATCCTGTGTTGCAAGGACATTTTACATACATAAATTGCACTTGGAAACCTCCCACCCAATCCGAAACAACTATCAGTGGATCACACAAATAGTTGTTTCGTGTGGGAATCCATCCCCTCCTCCGAATTGCCAACACCTTGGCAACTGCACCTCAGAGTCATAATTTTTTGAAATGGCCTAAAAATATCTTATACTTAAATAAGTATATTGCTCTTTAATAGTTGTACAATAAACAAAATCCATGTTACAACTAAGCATTGCTAGATTATTGGTTGATATGAATTTTGGAGTTTCATACCCAAATGGTGAAATTTTCTGGAGGTATAAGTTGATCACGTGCTTTCCGTGCAGCCGGCGCGCGGTCCGCCGCGTGGCGGCCCGCCCCCCGAGGAGTTCTACTACGAGCGGGGCCAGGACCGCTACTACGACGACGACGGCGGCGGCTACTACAAGGAGGAGCGCGAGTACAAGCAGCCGCCCGTGCGCGAAGTGGGCACCCGCCGCCCGCCGCGCCACTTCGCGCGCGCCTCGCCCTACGCGCGCCCGCCCAAGTAGACGCACCGTATGTCGCACGCGTGCGGACGCGCCCCCCCCCCCCCCCCCCCCCACGCACGCACACGCCGCACACGCCGACACCGACACGCGTACACCGACACACGCACACACCGATATGCGCACACACCTGCACACGCACACACCGATACGCGCGCACAACGACACTCGCGCACATTGACACTGGCACACTCACACTTACAAACACCGCCGCCCCCTACATACATAGATGCTTCCCCCCACACACGAATGACATATTACTTGTGAATATACATGCACACTGATACGCGCATATGAGTGCTTAATGTATTATGCGCTCACACGTGAGTGCTTACTGAATGAATACCGTCGAAGATATTTGTGAAATAAACACGCCAGCGATGAAACTGTGATCAAGTAGTCGACATCAGTCAAAGTTACTTGATTCAACCCATATCTTACACACACATGTATGCATGAACTATTTATAATGAACAACTTTTACCCAGAAAAAATTAATATTCCTACACACATGTGTATATAATGTATATGCACACGGATGAGTATACACTAATGTGTATACTATCTAATGAAAAAGAAAATAATATATAATGTGTTATCTAATGATAACTACTATATTTATATTTGATATGTCACTCATTGCAATCACTTTGGGATAGTTCTCAAAATTTGGCCACATAATATATTATAGTTTAAATAAGCTATCATTATATAAATACATACTGTATTTCTTTGTAAGTAATTTTCATCTTTTTTAAGCAAGCATCAATTCAACTACAGTACTTAACCATCCCCTATGTTGTCCAACTGAGTAGATAAAAATTCACTATATTTGCCACCATGCTAAGAACTTGTTAGTGTTCTCTGGTGAAATACAATTCTACAGTGCATTTCCAGACCACTGTCACATAATTCGTCGGTACATGTCATAATTCTCGTAAAATAGCAACAATTTAACAGAGGAAGATACATCGCCAAGAACTTCGAAACAGTTTCGGCCGCGTCCGCACTTTATTTTTTATTTCGCTTCTTACTACCCATTGACACGTAAATGATACTGGCTAGAAAAAAACTTTTGTTTCAAAATTTTTAGCGCCATTGATTTCAATTTCTCCTGAGTTGCATTTTTGCCTTTCATTACTGAAGCATCATATACCGTTGCTTGTGATTTGTAATTAATTGTTTATTCGCAGGACCGCAAGTAAAAAGCGTGGTCAGTACAAGAGTGGTGAGTAAAAACTGCAAAAAAAAAAAAAAAAACTGGGACTAAATCTATTCAACTCTGTAAAACGAAGACAAATGAAGAATACAGCCGACCAAAAAAAATTTGAAAAATCAAAAATGACACATAAAATACTCACCGTCGCTGTCGCCTGTATGATTTAATTAGAAACTAATACTTAAAAGTATAATTTTTTTACTTACTTCTATCTAATAAAGAAATATTCTTGTTAAACCATTTTATTGGAAAAAAAATTATAATTCTCTAAACAATAATTGTAGTAATCACTTGCATTTTGTCTTTATTGGCAGAATAAAAATGACATCAATCTAATTTGGGACATTGTTTGTATATGTGCAGCATTATGGTTGGATATAATCTTTTTTAACACGAACAAAACAGACAGTTATCTAAAAATATAGCAATTAGGGTTTAAATGAGGTTTTTCAAATATATTTGTTTCTTTTCGACATGTTGAAGTCTTTATAAATAAATTTAAAAGCACTTAATTATTAAATCTAATGCATGAATTCTTAAATCAAGACACCTATAGATAATTGTGAAAATAGTTTTAAAGACATGTTGAAAAGATTAGAGATGTTATTACATTTTTTGTGTGACTAGTAATAAAAATTATTAAAAACTAAAATCGGAATTTTTAATTAAAACAACACAATATTAATGGTGATAAAATTTAAAAATACACATGTAGTCCATGATAAAACAACTGACCAAAATTAAGAAAAAAACCTTAAAAATTGATTTCTAAGCTGACTGCTGAAAGCTAATTCTATTCTATTTTATAAATCTTTCGGCATTTATACGTCCGATATGATATACTTGTATATGTATTGCCTCTAACATAAATCCACTATCATTAAATTACTTTTAGGTTCATATACAGGGAGGCTTTGTTAAAGGTGCCCAAACTAACACAGGAGGTTCAGGCTCGGTAGTATAATCGTTTATTGAAATAAAAAACAAACTATTTTTTTCCATAAAAATTGACATTCTATTCCCTAAAAAACAGAACTTGTTGACCATGCGGTAGTCATTTATAAATAGAACTTGTGTGCGTGTTAGTTATGAATGATCGCGCGTAAAATAAATGAGTTGCGTATAAATCACGCGCTTTTTGAGATAAGTTCAAATGAATGTTATTAATTACTTACGAGTGATTTTAAATTTTTATCATTTTTATATAACATTATTTATGTCTAGAATTTAATTTAAAAAAAAATGGATACACTAAGAAAAGCCTCCCTGTAGAGTTAAACAATCTAAATTAATTGACAGGGTTACTTAATTTAAATGATCATGATGAAATCCTGAATATATAAAAAATTTAAAGAATTTATACCAAACAAAAATCTGTATGCAGAAACGTATATAAAAGAGAATGATCTTTGATCATAGGCGAATGGATTTTAATGGTATAGCCATACAACCCGTTTGGTCCAATTTAATTATACTATTTGAAGTTTAAAAAAATCTAGACTTTATGGTTGCGAAACACATCCACATCTGGTGGAATCAAAAATTTCAAACCTCATTTTACAAATTTAATACGTAAGTAGTATTAAGCTGTTGGAGCGGAGAATCACCTTCATGTCTCTGGTAAAAGGTGAAATACGATGACTTGTAAAAAATTTTGGAAGATTAAGGGATTACTTATTTTGATCTAAACTATTCAGATTCAATTAAATAATTATGTTTTATCAACCCTGAATCTTTCAATACACAATATGACTTGTTCTTAAAGCTCGCTTACAATATTCCATAAATCTGTAAAACTATTTTATATGGCTGCTCGAATGTACTGGAATGTTTTTTCTTTTGGTTTACCTTTAATATATTGATTGTATAAAATTAAAAATCTAGTAAATTAATTTAACAATAAAAGATTGCTTGATGGACTTAACGCTATCTGTACTTAATTTACTCTAAAATAGCATCAAAACGCAAAAGAGTCGTTTATATTCTGAATCACGGGCTAGTAAAATAACAGAACTCCGCGCCATGAATTTATGAATACAAATTGATATATGAACAATAGATATATTTCGATTTTATTTTTAGAATGTGGTAAGAAACGTTTATTAGTGTAATTTTCAATATGTTTTTATTGTTTTTAACTTAAATCTTATTTAATAATTCTAATTTAATGAAGCACTAAATAAAATATAATGGTAAACAAATAGAGCAACACTTACATATTTTACTTCACTAATAAAATAATTATGATAAATGAAAGAAACAAAAGCTATACACAAAAATTTGTGAATCATTATTACTTTATAGAAAGAATAAACAGCGCACAAAATGGTAATATAATTATAATGGAATGAAATAATAGTTACACGAATAAATATGAAAGCAACGTTATGTCGTATGCGAATTTTAAAAACAAAAAAGTTAGTGCAAAAAACGTAGCATCAAGGAAAGCTATGAAAATGAAATACAGTGACATACAATATGGATTACCTAATTGGGATGACAAAACCTATTAAAGTGTGTCAATACACTTCCTTAACCTGCCATCTGTTATAAAATGCAAATTACAAATAGTTTTAAGCCTTCGTTCTAAAAAAGTTGCTAAATTTGCAATAACAATAACAATGTTTTTATAAAAACGGGTGTACAAGGCATACAGGTTTGTAAATGTCATGCCGAGTCTACAAATATTTAATGCAGTGACTTAATGACTAGTTACAATGTAAAAGTAAGAATATAAATTTAACAATAAAAAACAAGTAAATGAACTAAAAAAGATAGAAAGAGATTTATTTGACACAAAACGGACGGACGTACACAACACTAATTTTAAACAAAATAAAATAAAAAATTGGACAAAGTATGAATCTCCAATACTTATATTTAAAAAGGACATCACTCAGCAGAATGTAAATCAAAAAGTAATATTACTCAAAGAATATTGTCCGGAAAAAAGCGCACTTGACATTACTGCACAAGAAATAAGAGCCCAAAAAAACCTCAATTTAACACAAGCCTACAAAAAATATATGCGCACGTAAAAAACTGCGCACATGGAATAAATCCTACACGGAAATGGGCTAACACAGCTGTATAAAAGTGCACATTGAAAAATAAAAACCATAATTTATCATCAATAAAAAATGGTTAACTGTTTTGTTATTTGGATGTAAGTAATTGTTTTTTGTTCATGAATTACTATAAGTTTAAGTTAGGTCAGGTTTTATATAAGTTTAAGATAGTAATGAATATAATTATACTGTTATTAAAAACGAACATTGCGTTTTTATCACAAGTTTTTTTATGTAAGAAGATGGCAAACGAGCTGGCGGTTCACCTGATGTTAAGTAATACCGCCGCCCAAGGTTGCAAATCAATCTTTTAATATTTTGCGCCCCGTTAACTCACTCACCAGACGAAATGCAGAAGAATAATAATATACTTCCATATTACACCGGTCTTCTACGAGGTTACTTCCTCGGACGGAGCTGCCCATTCGTGTAACAGCGAAGACTGCTGTTTGGGCCTACCATAGTAATAAATAATAAACCTGTACCACGCCGGACACCTCATAATGGCGTCTAAAAAGTAATACACAATCATATTGATTGTGTATTACTTATGAAATACTTGATGATCTTTTTTGTCTAAATCCTTTTTGTGTTTCTGTGAGAATATTGTGCATTTCCATTCCAGAAATGAATACATTACTTTAAAAAAGTATTTTTCAAATGTTTTGAAAAAGTAGATATAAAGAAATAATAAAATAGGCTAAACTTATGAA